CATGTACTCGGTGGTGGCACCATACTCTTCCTCTGCAGAATACACAAGCTCATTATTAACATCATTTCAACTCAGAAATGTGTTCGCATGAAGACGATAGTCAGGTATTATTTACATTTCTACACAAATGTTCCAAAAGGAATTATCTGTCAGATTTCTTTAACCCATCTATTTGTGGTGAATATGTGCGTTAATTATGCCCCTTTGTTATGAACATATATGCACTTATAATTATGTAAATATTATTATATAAACAGAGTATTTGCAATGTTTGAATATATGAAAACAAAATTACAAACCCTCAGTTGTCATGTACTCGGTGTTGGCACCATACTCTTTCTCTGCAAAATAGACAAGCTCATTATTAACATCATTTAAACTCGGAAATGTGTTCGCATGAAGACAATAGTCAGGTATTATTTACATTTTTACATAAATCTTCCAAATGTAATTATCTGTCAGATTTCTTTAACCCATCTATTTGTGGTGAATATGTGCGTTAATCATATCCCTTTGTTATGAATATATAGGCACTTATAATTATGCAATTATTATGTAACCAGAGTATTTTCGACTTCATGGTAAGCTTACAAAAAACATTACTTCATATTTGATATTTTTAATTTAATAATATTTTTGACATGGAACTAGCTACATGTTTTCATTAAATAAGAAAGGGTTTGATTAAATACACTAACTACCATGTGGTTTGGTTCGTAGTAACCTGAAATAGACATTTGTAAAAAATAATAATTCACATTCGAGTAAAATTGGGAGTATTCTAGTCTTGGATCGTGTTTATGTCTGCGTTGGGAAAGCAAAGACAATAAATGTACACATTTGAAAGATTGATTTGCAAAATGTTCGTCAGATTAGTACCTATTAAAATATTATTAATTTGGGGAAAATGGTTTGGGCAAATTGTATTCGCCCAAATGAATAAGACGATTTATTTATATTATTGTATTTTTTCGCACAAGTAGGGATCATCAACTGGCAACATGTTCTTATGTGTAGTGTGACTAATTCAATATTAATAAACTCTAATGCATCAATATTAATAAGCATTATTAAACATAACATGAAATAATATGAAATTGCGACAATATTTAATACATTGTTGCGCAAAGCTATCCAGATTACGCACAAAATTGTAATATAATCAGCATGCGAGTTGGTCAAACATAAAACACATATCTTCAGGGGAGCCATAAACAACTGAAAATAACATATATTACTTGAATGTGAATGAAAGTTCTACACGTGTAATAATTGTAGACGTCTTTTTGTGACATTGTTGAAATTCTGTCAAAAACGGAAAATCATAAAAAAACGGCTAAATTGAATAGACTGAACTCACCTTCTGTTGTCTTGTGGTTTGGAAATAAAGTACCAAACTCATCCTCTGAGAAATGCATAATAAAAAAGAGTGTTAAATATAATATTGCGAATGTGTGTTTACGGTAAACATAACCATGTCAATCAGATACGGAACGACATATGCAGTTATTTGCTAAATAGTAAAATTTTCCCGGACTACATTATACAGATATAAAGTAAATTATTTTGTTTTTGTAAACAGGCATCTATCTAATTCTGCAATATATACAAAATGCCAGCTCCAGGCGACGTATTGATATTCGACGTCAACAACCACTACATAGTTTTTCTATTTTCTATTTTCTAACACACTAAGTTTTGAGTAGTTTGAACAATTAGCACATACCTTCAGTGGTAGCATACCCACCATATCCTGAAAATATGAAATAACGATTATTATAACATAAAGCGTTCGTATTTGCAGTTTCCCTTGTTCACAATAGATATATAATCCAATCAATGTGACTCCTCATTTACTTCATATATTTGCACTAGGTTGACTTATATTTCTTTGTTGTTATCGCATCGCATGTTAAGCACTCAAATTATAGTTCTCCATTATGTTATTCAGACAGTTCCAAATAACTGGCATATAGTGATATGTATAAAACTATTTGTTAATATCACTGCTAATTTCTGGTGAATGGAATCTTAATTACGATTGGGTACTGAAAGTCATTGTAAAATTGTAAAAATTAACGACCACTGATTTTTCTATTCGACGCCTCACAATATCAAATGAACAACAATCTTGTCAAAAAAATACGTGGTTTTACTTTCCGATACAATTGCCTAGACTATTTCGACATACGATGATGTGATCGAAAATGCGCTACCAGACTAGTGCTTCCCGGTACCTGACAGATGGGAGAGTAACCTGATGTTTCATATATTGAAGTGTTCTGATGTGTATTATTGCATGAGGCAGAAACCAATTAGTAATATTCAAAATTGGTATGTCATTCCATTAATTGTGAATGTCAACAGAGACCAGCTGCCCGGGTGAATAGAAATATGTAGGTATGCATCCTTCAAATCGAGATCTACTTGTTCAGCTTACATACTGACCAATTGACTTTCTGAAATGACTGTAGGTTGACAAATGAATCCAGAGACAAGATTATTACTGGTTCCTCGCTTATGAATGGAAAACAGGTGTGCATACAAACCAGGACAGGTTGCAGGATGTATGTTGATAAGTATCTGGGATAGCATTGAGGTTACTTATACCTGAACTGCTCTTGCTGTCGATATTGTTCAAAGATATCTGGTAGCAAGAATGTGTGTGATAACCATGCTTTACCACTAAATTGTAAATTGGTTCGAAATGTATTCTTGGGTAGGAGGTTATTTGTGGACAGATTTGTTATACTAGTGGTGGCTCCCCAATTAAAATCTGAAGTGATTTGTAGTGGCCATGGTCATGGTGCGTAAGTTTGGTGCTTTCTCCCATCCAATAAAGAATTTATTGATCTTATTACAAGGATAATTGCCCAAACTTGCAGAACAAATTACAGACAAAAACCATCAGTCGCAACGGATCCACATCCAACGATGTTATTTCACAAGTTACTTGTTTACAATTCATCAACGTATACTGAGAAAATTCTCATAGTATTTCCTTTTACTGTATATAGTCATTTTAAAAGTAGAGTACAAAGTATTATTGACACATATTGACACCAAAAATAAACTTTTATAAGTATGGCAATAGGTAATTTATGATTTCTTTTTATGTTTTATATGTGAGAGCAATCATAATTATTCCCGTTCCCTCTAAATAATTTCTCTGAAGATATTTTTCATGGTGACAATGATAATGTTTAAATTTGCGATCTACTAATGATTATGCATTCATGGCACATATGCATTAAAAATGCCACTTAAAAACCCGTAGAACAATCACAGTGTATATATTGTGTTTTAGTGTATTGGTCATACTGCAGGTGACATGGTATAAACTAAGTTAACACAGAATATTAATGATAAATCATTGAAAGTTTATGATATTTTGTGAATTTAGTATCTATAAGCAATTCATATTAATTGAATAATTTTAATTATTTGTCCTATATATTAGTTTAAAAATTGATTAGCTGTTATTTGATATTACTAGCATTTTGTTCTGTTTATTCAATATCTTAGCTATGTTATGATTTCTGGTTTATCATGTCACCATAAACAATACAATGTGGAAAAGTAAATTTTGAATATATGTATATGGTTATGATATGAAGATGTGACAATTATTCACCGAGGCTCAGACTCAAACGTTGAAGCTTACAATTATTAATCGTGTTATCATTTTGAATTTCAAAATCATGTACTGATTTAACTGTCTGTAATCTCGACTGTAACACATGCCCAAACAACAGCAACGGGTTTATTGAATTTCTTATAGTCATCAGTTTGTTGAGGTACTGAAATTATTTGCATAATTTGTGTTTGTGTATCAACGATTATGATGAACGCAATTTTGTTCGCCTTTTTTATAATATTATGCTTAATTTAGTAGTAATGGTGTGTGCTGAACCTGACCGCCCGTTCAACATTTTGAACTTCGGTGTCCAAATTTGGCAACCAGCAATGTGTGTGTGCGAGTTTTGTCCTACGCACAAACGCCATTAAAGTCATATGTCGTAAGTAACAGCTTGACGTAGAGTATGACTGATAACAGTATCATTTACCTTCAGTTGTCATGTACATATCTGTTACTCCGGTCGACCAATATCCTTCGTCTAGTGTTGTCATTCCTACAAATAAAAATGAAAATATAAATGTACGACACTAAACTTAGGTGATAGTAGAGGTCCTAATTTTAAAGTGATATATCATTATATGACAATCTGGTTGGTCGTTGTGGTTTCACCGAATTTGTATTGATGATATCGATTTTTCCGAACCTGTGCATTTTTTCATCATTTTGCAATTCGATGTCAAAATTTAGAGGCAAGTAAGGTATGTTTGCTGGATTCTTTTCTAATCGTCTTGACATATTAACATATAAAAGATCACAGTGTCATTTACAAGCGAATACCTGTCCGATATATAATTACCTTCGGTTGTTGCAAACTCATCTGTAACTTTGGAGGACAAATATACTTCTTCTGTTGTTGACATTTCTAGGAATTAAAAATGAAAACGTACGACGCCAATGCCAGAATGAGTTGAAATATTGAAAATCTGGTCCGTGCAAGCAGATTGACACTTTGACATCATTGCTGAGTATCGCAACATAAATCAATATTCAAAAATGTTGATAATTTTATATAATATTTTTTCAAATTATTATTAGAACTGACATCTGGCAATATTGCAGCAAGGAAACATAATATTTTAATGCTGACAGAATCCCTGAATCACTGCCATGATGTATCACTGAATACACTTGGAATGTTCACTTATTTGTATAATGGATTCTGATGTAAATCGGTGTATGATCGAATATCTAGTGTTCTGTTCTGTATCACGAAAATGTTTATACTATATTTATGTTGAACCTTTTCATTAGTTCTAATGCGTTTGTATGAATCATATAACATCTCATTACATATTCGTAAGGAAAATACCTTTAAGCAAAAATTAGAATATTTTCATGAACAATTGCTGTCAAGTTATATGTTGAAGCAGTGACAATAAGATATGAGTACAGCAATAATACAATACAATAAGAGTATGCTGTTCAAATCGCGTGCCACACAATACATATGTCATCACACAAGAGAAGGTCAGCCATGGAAAAAGCAATTCTCGAAAGCAGTACTTTATGCAAGTATGTCCATGCTAACCTTTTCTGTAGTTACTTGTGGTTTCGAACAAGATTCTGTAGAATGTTCACTTTTTGGTATAATGGGCGCAGAAGTAATTTCATGTGTTACTGGATATCCAGTAATTTGTTCTGTATATTTTAATGAGAATTATATGCCACAAACTTCGTACTATTTATCATGCATGCAAAACTATTCAGAACAGTTCCTATTGTTTTATTGCCGAAAAAACTTAAACTCAACTGATGACGTTTTATGATCAAAAGTTACGAAAATGCTACTGATTGTTCCGTACACGTGTATCATATAGCAATTTGCGTTGAAATCCCATTCAACGTTTAACAAATGTGTTAGCATCACAATTGTTTGCTGTCCGTTGTGAAAACTTACTCGGAAATGTTACGCTGTTCTTTTCCACTTGGAGTGAACAAATTTAAATTACCAACTGAACAGCATTGATCAAATTCTAGTATTGTTGTCAACTAATTAAAGAAAACTAATCGCCAATACATATCGATCGTAAGAACTTTCTTTCAAAAATCACGTATGTGTTAATGTTTCTTGATTTATTATATGTGTTAAATAATACACCAAACTGTTACATTGGATTCTACTTTTTACTAGAATTGAGTGTAATTGAGTATTTAAAACTAACTAGAGCAAGTACACATACGATTTTCGTTATGTGCATGGCTATTTATACGGCATAGTGAGCGCACATCAGTTTAAATCGCTTATTTTATCTCACACATATATATATATATATATTGATTCAAATAGCTATGTATGTTCGTGCTGGCATTTATCTACATATTCGTGTGAACACATTACCGTTAATATATTGTTTCATGCAATATTGCTGTAAAGTTTTTAAGCAGCACATTCAACACAAATTCACTAGCAGGGAAGCAAAATAAACGTAATATTAAGCTACCTTGTCTCAGATACGGATGTCAAGTCATGAAAGAAGATCAGCGTCAGCAAAAACAAGAACCCTTTGGCAAACTAAATATATAAATAAGGATACTTTGATCACGAATATATTATTGAGATGACAATAAAACGTTCTACCTCTTGTGTTTTTAGTACTTTCTTCAGTTGTTTGCAGTGGTTCTGGATACGACACCGTGGAATACACACTTATTAGTGTAATGGGTGCAGATGTAGATGTGTGTGTCATTGGATATCTAGTATTCTGCTCTGTGTAATGAAGAAAAGCATATGCAGCAAAGTCTGGAATATTTATCGAGTAAGCCAACAGTCAATATGGTTTTAATACCGAAATACACTCATTGTAATCTATGTTAAATGTTCTGGGGAAATGTTATTCAGCAAATGTATGATATAGCAATTTACGTTGTCATGCTGGGCAGCGTGCCATTTAGCGTTGATGTTAATAAAATGTTACATGTACACTAATTCTATGCCAATTAATATATTTAACTCCAAAATATTCATCTGTTAAACGACAACCTAAAATTGGTGTTGTAAAAATCAGATATTGTTCAACAGAAAGCAGTATTAGTTAAACTATATACGGCATTGAGTGAAATACATGTGTTTTTTACTAAAAATTGGGATATACAATGCAACAATATTATTTGTCTTCACATTTTAGGAAGCATTTCACCCTACGTCAATAAAATCAATTCTTGTTAATAAAGAATATGATATAGTGACCATCCATGGTTTTAGCCAATTTTATTTGGTTTCGAATACTTAATATTTTTTCAAAAACTCAGAAAGTGTTTGTGCACGGCAGGAATGCATATCAAATTATGGGTGAATCATGAACTATCCTCAAGCAATATTCAAAAATATACTAGAATAAACACAAATTCAAAATTAGAATATTTTATTTACAAGTATGTATTGATGAAACAATGAAAGTGTTCTACCTGTTGTGGTCACACTAATTTCGGCTGTGGTTGCATCTGGCTCTGGGGATACTTCCATGGCATATTCACTCGTTGTTATAATGTGTGCAGATGTTAATCCATTGGTCGTTGTAAATCTGGTATTTTGTTCTGTGTAATGAAAACATACGTATATAATATAGCATATCTCCAAGTATATTAGTTTGGGAAGGTGAAATTACATTTTCAAAGATGCATTGCAATGTGATGACACGGCTCCCCGGTGTACCATTGATGTGATGAGGCCTACTTACAAGACCATTGTCATCATAACTCAAATATTATCAGTGGTGTATCACATTCTCATACAAAACAAACGGTTTTAAATGATACGTTTTGTAGTATACTTACCCCCTGTTGCAGTTATGCTCGCCGTATAAGGAATGCCAGTCACGCCTGCTGTTGTGAGCTTGGTTTCCTCTGTCATTCTTACCGTTGGCTTTTCCGACACCTCAGTGATTCCTACATTTCAAACATGAGCAATCCATCAAACAAGGGTAAACATTGAACATTGTCTTTATGTAGGTGTGTTGTTGGACAGAACCCCTCGATATATATATATATATACATATAATATTTGATTGAAGAAAACATTAGCATACACATACTGTTATTAAATCAACGATGTGATAATTATATAATACGGTTTTCAGTAATCTCAGGGTAAGTTGTTTTACCTTCAATAGTGCTTTCCATCCCTGTCGGAGCAAATGTTGGAACAGTTGCGCCAGCTATAACATAAACAATGAAAATATGTATATAAGTATAAAGCTATTGATGAGAATGCTAAGGGTGCTTGACAAAAGCCTCTGGACTCAATGTTGCCATGGTACTACATACAACAGATTTTTCATTGACTAATTTATTCAAATTTTTTACTTTGGCGAGTTAACATCTTGTCCCGAGAACAGGGAAATCTTGCGAGTCATTATTAAAATTGAATATTTAGTAAATTCTTTTCATAGCAGCTAAATATACCACACTTAATCACTACACAGTTATACTACCCAATGAATGTAAAAATATATTCAATCACTATAATTATATTATGTACACTATTGAGCTGGGAAATAACACCAACAAATGGGTAGGGAAGAAATACACTATATACGTCGTCGCCATTAAACTACGACAACATGTTGAACCAAGATTTTAATATTTGTACAGATTTGTTCCTTGTGCATTCTTGTATTATCTGGTTATATAACATTATAGAGTCAATACATTTTGTTCATCCCTGTCAATACATAAAAGGGTTCTCCTGGTAAAATAAAGAATGGTGCACGTCGTTGTGACTTTGACTATATTAAGCAATAACTTGCACTTGACAATTGCTAGATTATATAATATGACTTACTAGTGTAACAACAATACGGCTTATTGGTGACACCAGAGCAGAGAGTGTTCCATCCAGATAGTAGATATATACTTTTGGGAGATTCACATTCTCCTATTGTGGCCACACACTCTCCATCATCCAACATTGTTACGCACAAGGAGCTTGTGTCTATATTTGAAAATTGAATACGACCACACTAATATAACTAAATTACACTACATCATCACTAAAGTAGTTCATAATGTTTCAATCTCTCCCCCAATCCGTAATCCGAGATATTTTTTTATTTTATTTTGTAATTACTTGTATTGTCTGAGAAGAATAATGGCATAGTCCAATTCACAACTCGCCAGAAACTAAGGGAAACATTGTTATTTGAGTGACTAGCAATCCCGACAGATTAGTATGTAATTTGCAGAACTATGGTACTCTACACTGCGAAAAATGCAAATAAAAATGTCGATTTATGATTGCGATTATACCTGTATTAGCAAAGTCATCCTGCATACGCGTTTGACTTTGCTTTAGGAAATAATTAATAATTTAATTGCAATTTAATGTCAGATATGTTTCCTTATATACTAAGTTAGTGTGCATGTCCTAGATTTTATAGTTCTATAAACATGTTTAAAATGTAAAATTAAGCTAAATGTTACATTTTGTTGTATATATATTCGCCTCTTCTGTAGTAGTAATTTGCATTGTTGTCAACAAAGGGTACTCGCTCATCATTGCTGTCTGTTCCATAGAGGACTCAGTGGGACCTACAATAAATCAGTCGGTCACACTGTCAGTCAATGAATGAATTAGTGAAATAATGAATGTAACAATGAAAAACATGAATGAGTGAGTGAGTGAGTGAATGAATGAATAAATCTATCAATTCACCAATAAGTTTGCAAACAGAATGCCAGCTATCATAATACATAATTATGTCCTCGTTCAACTTACCTAATGTCTTTGTAGTAGTTACTGTAAATATAAAATATGAAATTTAAACATGGTTTCTACATTGCAAATAGACGAAACTGATTACCGTACGTTGGTGTTAATGGCGTATTAACACTAACAAAATATATACCCATTATATACCAGCTGATTGTGACAGTCGCAGATATTATAGTTGTAATAAAACATGCTCAAAATATAACAATCTTGCTAAATGTTACCTCTTGTGGTATATACATCCTCCACTTCTGTGGTATCTATATGAGGAACGCGAGTAGTTTTCATTGATGTTAACGAAGGAGACTCACTCATCTTTACTGTCGGTTCCTTAGAAGGCTCAGTGGGACCTACAATCAATCACACAATCAAAAGATCAGTCGGTCACACTGTCAGTCAATAAATGAATGAATTAGTGAAATAAGAAATGAATGATTGAAATTAGGAATAAAATAATGAATGAATGAATGAATGAATGAATGAAGTATGAATGAATCTATCAACCCACCAATCAATCTGGAAACTTAGATCTGGGCTATCATAATCTATAATAATATAATCGTTCAACTTACCCAATGTAACCGTAGTTGTTGGTAATGGCCGTGTTCTTGGAGTCTTTGCATAAGTTGCTGTGAACAATAAATATAATATTTGAACAAGGCTTCTACACGAATGAAGCATGGAGTCAATAGCTTATTAGTTATTCCCACTAACACTAACACGGCGCATGCGCAAATCTTATATCTTTCATCGTTGCAAAGACAAATAATTAACCATTATGGGGAAATTATATACAATCAATACAATACCTGATGCAGCAGTTGTAAGCAATGTAGTAATTTCAGGTTCCACTGTAGTTACACCTAAAGGAGATTTGTCTTATTAAATACATATAATTGACTATGTATTTTGTAATGTAACACGGCATCAACTGGTATAATACATACATATTCTTAGGGACAGTAATCATGTTTAGAATGCAGTGGTTGACAAAAGAAAAAAGATAACATGATTTACTGAGGGCGCAAAATAAAATGACCATGGAAACATATTAACTTCCCTCGAAACATAGAGATATCATTTGGAAAATTCCTATCGGTGTTTTATGTTATATTCAACTGATGACAATTTGCATATCGAAGGTACAAAGTGAAAACAAACACCACAAAGCATCTGCAAGAGAATTTTGAATATTCCGTAGAAAACTGCCAAGCGATATAGCGGTTTACATGAACAGTTTATTTTGTCATAGAAAATCTTAACTTAAAATTTACGTAATAATTTTTAAAAAAAGCAATAAAAATAATAATTTTTAAAAATGTGGTGCCGACCAACGATGTTATTTTTAAATATAGCAAGACATTTTTTTCCAAATTGAAATATGATGATTGCATTTTTTTCTCAAATTTTATATTGGGATCAGTGAATTTCGTTTGATTATTTTACGAAATGCATTTTGGGCAATAAACTCTGAACTGTTTACATGTGACCGGGCTAAATTCTTTTATACTATATAAATATATAGTCATCTGGCTCAATCAATTTATAATAATGTTTCGAATATTCAACAAATCGTTATCGTTTTAACCTATGGTATTAGTTAGGAAACTAGTCATAATTATGCTTGAAAGTAATGTTCATGCATTTCTTTTTGAAATAAATATTTCCTTCAAAATCATGTTTGCTTTCTAAAAAATAAGTGGTCGTAAAGATGTCAAAATCAGAGTGGTACGATTGAAAATGGAATTGCATAGCAGAATAATTCATTAAATTTTCGTTCATTTTGAATGCTTTGATACAAATAATGTTTTATTACTAAGTAACGTCCTATAAACTAAACGTCCTTCGTATGCACAAATACTGCTACTTGGTCGCACCAATACCATACTATAAAACAAAATATGTTTTAGTCAAACTCAACTTGACTCTGTTGATTTAGTTTAATGTATAAACAATTTAAATATCCAAGCAACAAAAAATAGGAGCAAAAACTTGTATCACTCAGTAAGAATTTAGTTTATCAAGCATGGTTAGGGTTGCACGACAGTCGAAATAAAGCTCTCTATTTTGACGTTTTTACAATTTATACAGCATTGATTTCAAACTAACTCCTGTACACAATTCAACCCCAGTTCGTCTCGATCTTGTGAGAATGGATGCCTTCTAGGACTCAAGGCTATGATGAGAATAAATCTAGTCTAGAAGTTTATCAAACTTTCAGAACTAAAACTATTCAGGATTATATGGTAATATTCATATCTTTTTAACGACCAGTAAAATGGAATTATGTAAATTGCTCTCATGTGGAAATGTTCATAAGTTGTCAACGACTAGCATTACAACAAAAGGACGTCACACAGATTACTCTTAATGTGGCTAACAATAGCAAATTAGAACGTTCGATTGTGTCTGATTTCAAACAAATGCGCCTAATACATTTAACCAGGAAAGATAATACACTAAAACTCATATTTATTTTCTGTTATTTATACTTTTTTCAATATTAATGAAATTTTGAATATTATTAGTTCAAACAATTCGAAAAATATTATCAACGTTCTCATAGTATTGCAGACTCAGAAACTGCTGCGGAATATAGTACGGCGGGTGAATTAGTTCTCTTTGAGTTAAGAGCTAATTTTTGAAGGGGATTTTCTTCAAAGAATTACTGTGAATTGCATTATATATTTATAACTTATTATAGTTATAATCCTTTTTCTGAATTGAACCCAGCACATCGAACATTGGGCAAAATGTACAACATAACACAGGAAATGTCAATGGTGTCAAATGTTAATTGATTAAGACTGCATTTTTAGATTGTTTTAGAATCATCAGACAAAATTACAAAACTCAAAATAAAAAAAAAAAAAAAAATCTTTCAAACACAATGTTTTCGATTATTAATGATAGTATTTTGTTTTAGGCTATGTATTAAATATGATCACCGACAGTGTTGTACATACATCACGATTATTAAAACAGGTGATTTATTGTAATAAATTAGACACGTATATACAGTAAAAATATTTAAAATTTTGCTGTTGTAAATAGGGTGTCATCTATTCATTGTATATCCATTAACTAAATGTGATTAGGTGAAAAATATTACTAGATTCAGAATATTGTATTTACATGTTATAATCCTAGCATGGTAAATAGTTCACCACACGTAAGACAATATCATATTTTTAGTGAGCGTAATTCAATGAAGATGATATCATAACATGTACTTTCTGTCCATTTTATATTTTGCACTGTTTGTTTGTATACTCAAAGATACGAGGTGGTTAAGTGAATTTAATATACAATAAAATGGTTCCAATAACGTAACATACAGTTACATTGCAACTTTATTGAAATATATATACTATCAACAATAATTCAATGCTTACTGCAATCTTCACGTGGTTGCCCAATATCACAAAAATTCCAAGTTAAGCTAGCATTTGTAGTGAAGCACCAGGCCGTGGTCCTTTTGTCAGGGTTTCGACAATAGTTGTTATCTTCGAGACCGTCATCAGGGTAGTTTTCAGACGTGAAATTGTGATTTTGAGGTGTTTGCTCCGACCAATTTTGGCAATATTCTCCGCTTATTGTACTATTGACTACTCCACGATAATCCGTTCCATTTACATTCTCGTAGCACTCGGTTTGTACCGCTATTGAAAAGGAGTCAGGTAGTGGGAAACAAATTAATAGAATTGGCAGTAATGACAGCGAACACATAAAACAAGAGTCTTGTATCGTATATAGAAACTGTCATTACAGGTCACACTATTTTGTGTATTATGTTGAAAGTAAAGATATAACTTCATGAGCACTCGAGACGACACATTTAGCTCTGTCTTTTCATATTCACTCGGCTTTACACTGTTGAGATCTTGAACAATTTAATACAATTTTATTTTGAAAAGAATCTGAATCTAGATATAAATCACTATAAGTAGATTCCAAAACAGTAATCGCGATTTTCACGCGATAATTTTAGATACTATATTTTGAGCACATGTAAGCTTCAGATAGAGTGAATAATAATAAATTTAATCATCCTCATCACTCGTTTTTACAGTTGGTTAGAGGGAATTAAAATTCGAAAAGCTCCGCGGTGTCATGTGATGTGATAGTATTTATTTCAAAATTAATGAATTACCTTTTTCATCATTATTTTCAGGTAGTAATACAACTAAAAGTGTTGTCAACAGAATTATAACCACGGCACAGCAAGCAACCACGACAACAATACAAACAACGGGTTTAACCTGTTGAGTAATGATTAAGTATGTTCACCAAGAATTCTGATTGTTATCATGCACGTAATAAATTAAAACCGAAATTACAATAAATTAAAATAAAATAGATGGTAACTCACCGCCATACTATTGTAAGGCAAGAAATAAAAAAAAAAAAAAAGATTTTGCTGAATCGAATGTATAAAAAATATATTATATAGCTTGGTAGTGATTAAAAGTATTTGAAACTTCCAAATCTTTTCAACATAGTTTGTAATCTCAACATAAATTACAACATTAGCAATTCCTATGCTGGAGGTTCTACAATATTGTTATTTATCACTCAGTTTTAAAGGCAGCAAAAGAGGAAGCACACAGTCTAAAACCGTATTAAGATGGAAATTGTAGGAAACTGAGATGTGGTTTATTATGAGTAAATGGCAACCCATCTTGAGGTATGTGAGTTGACACAAAGTGAATAGATTTTGTTGACCAGTTGAATTTGTATTGTTTTCCCTCACATTCAACGTCTTACTCATTTGGACAGTTACAACCAATATTTGATTGATAAATTCGGAAAAATAGGATATAATAGGGGGCTTGATATGAACACGGCGATACAAAACACCATTTGTGATATTATAATATAAAAACTATCAGCGATACTATTTGTTTATGAATTGAAATAATTTTTTATAGTTACATCAAGTCTCCAAAAGCATGGCGGCAGCCAATTTGCAAACTCGCCAGCGAATTGCCTATCTTCTTGGGTTTTGAGTAAACAGTTGGTTTTCGATCATCGCTGGCCCGGACTTACTCGTGGTAAATCATTATTACAATAATATCATGTAATGGAATATAAATAACAGATTTTGTAAACCATGTTTACTACCTATTTTTTTATTCGAATATACTTATAGATTGAAATTAAATGTAGTCACCTGACTGTATGGTAAGGCAATATTTTGTCCAACACCCCAGGCTTTGTTATGCGGAGTGAATTATAACGACTTCCCGGAATTTCCTTCGCTAAGTAGTGCAAAATCGCGTTGCATTTTGAAAACGGCGGCAGAACGGTCGTCACACAGATATTCAGGGACGGGGAAAGTGTTATATGTTCTTCACGTAATGAGGTGTTTGTATGCAAGGGATTTACCACGCAAAAACGACGGACGAGGTCGAATGTTATTAGCGGTTGGCGTAATGTTACCCCAACTGATCGTTGAAAGTTTAATAATTTCCCTGTTTTTTTTCTCAACTTTACTCTTTGTTCAGTTTCAAGCCGTATTCAAGATAACTGGCCCCATATTCATCTTATTATCACTTGTACACAAGCTGACTGTGGTTCCGACTAGGAAAAGGCGTGGGAAAGACGCGATTATAACAGAACTCCCCATTATTTGATAGGATCGAGTGTGCAAACTTTTGTTGTGTACTACTCGTACAAATTTAGTAATGGTAAATTACTTGTGCATTATCACCTCTCGCTTAATACCTCTCGCAAAGTACCTTCAAAAGTGAATTGTTGATGTCAAGCTACGTATAAGCACTATATGTCCCCTACTGCAATATAGACTCGCCCAGAATGGACGCGAACACAAGTCGGTGCCAGCGATATTTGTTTGCCAACTGTTAAAAGTCAAAATCATAGCAGTTGACCAATTCGTTGGCGAGTGTGCAAATTTACAGCTTCAATACTTCTGAAATTGGCTGTAAATTCACACTAATTGACAATTTGGTGTTAATATGTTTTTAAATCATCATTTAAATATATTTGTAATATATAATAACACATTAAACTGAAACAAAATACTATTCATATTCTATAAATGTCGATGTATTTCGGCAGCACTGTATCACGTGACTTTTGGATTTAGTGGATGACACAGATTAAATTTTACGCACATTGCATTGAGTTCTAACCAACCGGGATGTTTACAATTCTCGACCCTTTTAGCATAAAGTAGCTTTGAAATTAGATATGTCATGGTTGGCAAATTGAAGGTCATGTTTTACACAAAATAAAGTTGGGACAATTACACGATAAACATATTTGAAACGCTCCTTATTGACCATCTACTTATTAAATTGGTATTTTGGTGGATTGATTTATTGTAGTATTTTGCTATATATATATATATTGGCTGTGAGACGGGATAAACATTTTAGAACTTTTAATCACATAGCAATTTCCCTAAAAAATGTCCTATCTAGTTTGGTCTCTCTATTTTAATTATAAACACACCATGTACCTATCAATTGTTTTTAATATGAATAAGATTTCGAGGACAACTATTATTCGTTTATTCATGTATCCCTACCCGTCGGCAGTGTCCCTTTATGAGTCTCTTCCCGATCAGCACAGTTAACGATTCTGACAATTTAAAAACGAAATAAACAAGTACACATTTTACATGGTTACGTTGTTAATTATAATGATATATCTTCGACCACATTTATGATTTTATGATTAATTTAACATAGCATTACAATTTGTTCTTAGTCGTGAAAAATGATATTCATTCCTTTTGCCGTTAATCGAATCAAATTAATTGGAAAACTGAAAAAGAACAATCAGATATCTTACTCACAGTAACTGCAACGTCAACAATCATCATCATAAACGCAGTGAGGTGAATGAAATATGACTATTTTTTTAGCTTACCTTACAGGGTATTACTAGATGTCGTTATCTGTACACGTATAAGCAAAATGGCTGACTGTTGGGTGGTGCCACTATTTATAGGTATGTCAATAGGACAGTCGTGGTAATGATGAACGTGATTCCTATAATTGAACACGTTTTGGTAGCAGTAAAATCATAAACTTAATACGATAGTTCATCTACGTGTACCTGCGGTTTAAATCGACAAGTTCACATAGATGCACTGATATTATTCATTTATGACGAAATATATATTATTATTGTTTATGTATAAGGATATATCCTATGGGTCATTCAGGAAACAATGCATTCATTTGTCGACTTAATAAGCCGTAATGTACATGTACATCTCACGATCATGGTCGTTTGGTGTCCCCTGCCAAAACAATGTACATTGCCGTCAGTAGGTTAGCTTGTTGGTGACATGGTAGAGGTCGCAAACACACCCTGGTAATCTGCTCAACCAGATTACAGGGATAAACATAGACACGCTATGGAACATTAACCAGCTTAATTGACCAAATGCGGCGTGAAAACCCTTTTGAATCATTTGTTGTTAACCAGCTTGTGTTTTTTTTAATCAATTGTCCACCAATATGAATAACATAATTAAAACATAAGATGTGAAGTGAAGTGAAAGTACAACGATTTACATTCTATAGTCATATCAATGTAATTTAGACGTCCGGTGGTTTAAAAAATTAAAAATAAAGTTGGTGCAAAACCTGTTGTTAGAAGATTTAGCGTATCATTGTTACAGATCTGCATGCTGTCCTGTAATTTGTATGTATAGCGCATGCGCTCTATAAATTACTACACCTACACTATGCGAATGTAGTTCGTTGAACTCTTTCAATTCTCGCTCTGATAACTTTAATGATTTGCAAATATGCCCATCTCAAATAAAAATCACAAAAACAAAACAAAAAAACATTCATGTGAGTAATATTAACATTTTTGACCAACTATAAAACATGCACAATTTGTACGAAGCTACCAATACTGGTATGAATAATTTATAAACGATTACACACAGATCCTTCAAATAAATAATAAATAATAATATAACAATAATCATTTATTGTAATAATATCATATTAATATTGAATGTTGTAAAATGGTCTGGTTTCTATGAGAGTAATAACCACATAAGTTGAACAAGTCAGCAATAGAGCAAACTACTTTAAATGTCTTTTCCGCAGTTGAGAAGCCTTGTCACATATTTTCTATTTTCACCTAGTATAACGGAATATGTGTGATACCGTTAGATGGAGAAGGAACATCACATCTTTCCCTGAATAATAAACAATAGTTCTTTGCAACGACACGTTAACACATGCTAAAGTACCATGTTGTTGGTTGCAAAGCGAAATTGCATTTACACTGAACACAAAGTCCTTCAAAAATCATGGTATAAGGTCTGTTTGAGTTCAGGATTAAATACGAGTTTGGCTGTCATCTTTTATTACTACGAATTTATGAAAATCCAGAATGATACATTCTCTACATACGACTTGTGGAAGATTAATTGCAGCAAAATACGTTTGAGCAATAATACTGGTACAGCAACTCAAATGAAAACGTTAACCATGATCAGTGATCTGCAAAACCATATGGTAACATAGGGCGCCACATTATTAATTTACATTCACTTCATATAACAATGCACTATAGAGAACTATATTGTGTTACTGGTTTTACTCATCACCGTAGGTTTGTAGAATGACAGAACAGCTTGTAGCTACCAGTCAATGAATGTCCAAGTTTGTTTGTTTGTATTCGCTCTAGGAAAACGAAGAGGAGGTTCTAATCTGCAAAAACGGGTAGTTGTGTGCTGTTTTTGTTCACTACTTGTAAACTACTCTTGATGTTTTGGGATTAATCAGTTTAAGATTTTGACTGGGCCATTTTTACTTGGGTTTGCGCATGCGTAATTGCGTAATTGTTTTTGTTTGTATTTGACAAGGTAAGGGGAAAATATGTCATATTGGTACATTATTAATTCACTGAATACGTTATATTATTCGACTTGATTTTTAAACATGTTACTAAATCTTCCTAATTGAAGAGTCATTGAGTTAATAATTTCTTTACATTGAGTTAATAAGTCTTGGGGATTTCAATATGAACTGTGATGATCCAAATGATATGAATTGTAAAAGCTTTCTGTCTCCTAAAATATGACATGGATTTGAAATAACATGTATAAAGTACAAAACACAATGAACTAAAAACTTGATTTATGGATTTTGTGGTTTCATACTAGAATTATTTATTTCGGTTCATTATTTAAAGTATAAGATTGGTCTTGTATGTATTTTTTATTTGATAATGATACAATATTAAATGATTATACATTGTTTTGGAATATTCATTTCTATGACTTTATTTGGTAATTTGACTTAAAAATTGCCTTTACAATATTACAAGCAGTGAACGTCAAGCGATGCTTTAAATAATGGAGGCATGCAATTCACTTAACTGAAAACATATTGGGTCAGGACTTATAACTTGTACCCAAATGCTTGTAGTCAAGGCACAGTGGAAATACTGCAATACTTGATTTCTCAGGCAGTAAATCTAGTGTTGAAATTAACATAAAAAAATAAAATTAATTCATTACAATATTGCAAGCAGTGATCATCAAGTGATGGCTCAGATTAATGTTGCACTACAATTCGCTTACCTGAAAATATATTGGGACAGAACTTGTACCCATAGTGCTCACAGTCTAGGCACAGTCGAATTTTTGTGATATTTGATTACTCAGGCAGTGAATCACATCTATTGTTGAAATTAAAATTAAAAATTAAAATTAATTAATTGCAATATTGCAAGCAGGTGATCATCAAGTGATGGCTCAGATTAATGATCATATACAGTGCACTTACCTGAAAACATATTATTGCAGAACTTATAACATGTACACATAGTGCTTGTAGTCTTGGTGCAATTGAATTTCTGTAATATTTCATTTCTCAGGCAGTGAATCACATCTAGTGTTGAAATTAAAATTACAAATTAAAATTAATTCATTACAATATAACAAGCAGTGAACACAAGTGATGGCTCAGATTAATGAAGGCATACAGTTCACTTACCTGAAAATATATTGGGACAGGACTTATAAATTGTACCCATAGTGCTTGTAGTCTAGGCGCAGTGGAATTACTGCGATATATGATTTCACAGGCATTGAATCACATCTAGTGTTGAAATTAAATTAAAAAAATAAAATTAATTCATTACAATATTACAAACAGTGAACATCAAGTGCCGGCTCAGATTAATGGTGCAATACAGTGCACTTACCTCAAAACATATTTTGGCAGGACTTATAACCTGTACACATAGTGCTTGTAGTCTAGGCGCAGTTGAATTTCTGCGATATTTGATTACTCAGGCAGTGAATCACATCTAGTGTTGAAATTAAAATAAAAAAAATGAAATTAATTCATTAAAATATTACAAGCAGTGAACATCCAGTGATGCTTTAATTAATTAAGGCATATAGTTCACTTAACTGAAAACATATTGGAACAGGACTTATAATTTGTACCCAATTAACTTTTAGTCTAGGCACAGTGGAATTACTGCGATATTTGATTTCTCAGGCAGTGAATCACAAATAGTGTTGAAATTATAATAACAAATTAAAAATAATTTATTACAATATTACAAGCAGTGAACATCAAGTGATGACTGAGATTAATGTTGCAACACGGTGCACTTACCTGAAAACATATTTTGGCAGGACTTATAACTTATACACATAGTGCTTGTAGCCTAGGCGCAGTTGAATTTCTGCGATATTTGATTTCTCAGGCAGTAAATCACATCTAGTGTTGAAATTAAAATAAAAAAAATAAAATTAATTCATTACAATATTAGAAGTAGTGAACATCAAGTGATGCTTTAATTAATGAAAGCATACAGTTCACTTACCTGAAAATATATTGGGACAGGACTTACAAATTGTACCCATAGTCTTTGTAGTCTAAGCGCATTTGAATTTCTGTGATATATGATTGCTCAGGCATTGAATCACATCTAGTGTTGAAATAAAAATAAAAAAATAAAATTAATTCATTACAATATTGAAAGCAGTGATCATCAAGTGATGGCTCAGATTAATGTTGCAATACAGTGCACTTACCTGAAAACATATTGTTGCAGGACTGATAACTTGTACACAGAGTTCTTGTAGTCTAGGCTCAGTTGAATTTCTGTGATATTTGATTTTTCAGGCAGGGAATCACATCTAGTGTTGAAATTAAAATAACAAATTAAATTAATTCATTACAATGTTACAAGCAGTGAACATCAAGTAACCGCTCAGATTAATGGTGCAATACCGTGTACTTACCTCAAAACATATTGTTGCAGGACTTGTAACTTGTACACATAGTCCTTGTAGTCTAGGCTCAGGTGAATTTCTGTGTTATTTAATTACTCAGGTAGTGAATCACATCTAGTGTTGAAATTAATATAACAAATTAAAATCAATTCTTTACAATATTACAGGCTATGAACATCAATTGGTGACTCGGATTAATGAAATCACACAGTTCACTTACCTGAAAATATTTTGGAACAGGACTTATAACCTTTACCCATAGTGCTTGTTGTCTAGGTAATTAAAGCATAACTCGATGTTCACTACTTGTAATATTGTAATGAATTAATTAATTTTTTTTATTTTAATTTTAACACTAGGTGTGATTATAAGTCCTGCCACAACATGTTTTCAGGTAAGTACACTGTATTGCACCATTAATCTGAGCGGTCATTTGATGTTCACGGCTTGTCATATTGTAATGAATTAGTTTTATTTTTTTGTTTTGATTTCAACACTAGATGTGAATCAATGCCAGAGAAATTATATAACACAGGAATTAAACTGTGCCTGGACTACAAGCACTATGGGTACAAGTTGTAAGTCCTGTCCCAATATATTTTCAGGTAAGTGAACTGTATGCCTTCATTAATCTGATCCATCACTTGATGTTCATTGCTTGTAATATTGTAATGAATTAATTTTAATTTGTTATTTTAATTTCCACACTAGATTTGATTCCCTGCCTGAGAAATCAAATATCACAGAAATGCAGGTTCGTGGGCTCTTGGGAGTGAATTTTTGTTCCTGCTTTTTATTATCGAAACAGTTTTGGCTATAGACGGTTAAAATTTTGTAGAAGTGTGAATAGTGGAACATACTCAAAAGACGATTCCAAAATATAAATAACAGGTGAAAACATTCTCTCGTTTGAATGCTTAGCAAGATTTAGCAAGGCTGCACATAAATAATATAAAAGAAACATGGTGAAAAAAGACATGACGGGATCTCCATATTATGCACTATATTTAACTTTATTCAAAACGGTAATACATTCAAATTTGGAACTGTTATAGCCATTTTAATTATGAGAATTAGCAAACTTCTTACTGAGTGAATAGTTATGCAAATTAACAATTATCTCAGCTTCTTTTTAGTGCACATCCAAGAACTTTAAAAAAAGCTGCTCGAAGCTTTAACCTTTTGTTTTGAAATGTTCACAAATGATTGAACAGTGCTACAACATTCGTACAAACAACTAGCCTGGGTGTTAATTTATGCATGAACTTGAAGTAGTGAAATTTGAGCTGTTGTCCTGCAAAATTGACAACTGGTAGACAGTTTTCATGACGGCACTTTCTTCATAGTAGACAGATGTACCCGTAAACAAATTTTGTCAGGAAACAGAAGCATGGTTTAGAAGCTAATTTTTTTAAATCACTTTTGACCAAAAAAGCACATTTTTGTGGATATTTCAAACTACAGGGTCCAGAAAAAAATAATAACAACATTTTAAAATTCATACAATACGCTTCTGAAGATATATAATTTTGTGGACAAGGGAGGTCATCTTGGTTGCCTAATTAGCTAATTAAAATACCTGTCAGGTAAAAATGCATCTCTTCTTTAGTTGAATTAAAAAAAAAAATAAAAAAAAAAATATTATATACCCAAAAACTGTTAAATAAATGTTGATATGCACAAATTAATGACAATAATACTACAGTTGAACTTTCTCTTATTTCTCCAATAATAACTACATCGTGATCACTATTCATTTTTTTACTTAGGTTCATATACATTTCTGGTTGGAATTGACAACAATTTATACATGCGTGATAAAAGTAACAATGAAGTCCCTATACTAGATTTCAGTGGGATTTTATATATTATGGTTATGACAGATGGTTCATTGCTCGCTGTGGATACAAGTAACGCGCTGGTGCGGAAAGTTACAATAAATACTCAGGGATGGCCTGAAAAAATACCAAACTCTTGTTGTGTGATTAGTGTAGACTACGTGAACAATTACGTATACATTATTGGTGTTAGGATTGATAACCAGTTGTATATAAAAGAAACATTGAATGCTACATGGAATGGCCCAGTTCCAGAGAGTGGTTTTGTGACAAAGGTGATTGTATATATAGATGGACAAAGTATTCTCGGAGTGGATACAAATGGTGCAGCAGTACGAGTTACTGGTTCTACGCCTTTCTGGGAAGATTTAGGAACAGACTCCGCAGTGAAAGATTTTACCCTAATGAAAGATGGAAGTCTTGTTGCAATAACGGTTGATGGCCCAACATTCCAAGCGATATGTCGAATGCGAATACCGATTGCAGGTAAATCAGTTATGTTGTCAGTTTTGATGATATAAATAATAAAACTAGAAATGTTTGCACATGCTTTTTCATCATTACAACGTAAATCACATAATTATTTTCACTGATTTATAGAAGTCTCCCACACTACTGTCACTATTCCTGGTTCATCACATCAAGCAAGTCGCTATGCAACAGGAGAATTAGATCAACGCAATGTTATTGCTGTTGGCGCTGATGGTTATCTTTCTATGGTCATGTTTACCAGTACAGTGAACCAATACTGGGTTCATGTTGTGTGAAAGATATGGCTAGCCTACCTGATACCACACTTATTGGTGTACAAGAAGACAACAGTTTGTATGTGAAACCAAATTTAGTGGTCAACGGCTGGATTAAAGGTACCACAGATAGTTGTTGTATTGCGAGTATGGAAGTAATGCAAGGTGGAGCAATAGTTGGAGTTGGAGTTGAAGAAGTGTTGCTCATAAGATCAAGTTTAAATGCTGAATGGAATGTTGCAATTCCTACTGACATGCGCCTTGCAAAACTAACTGTATTGCCCAACCACCTTGGTATAATTGGGATTAGTGAAAATAGTACACTTAGTATTCTTACATTCTAACCATATGTGGAAGACTCTCGAAAACGACTTAACCGATTTACCTATCACTGAACTGGCTATCGATAATGATGGGAATTGTGGCATCTTGATTCCTCGAATGTCAGAAGGGTCTGACGGGAATCAAATTGACATGATTAGTATGACTTATGCAGATTTTCCACAAAAAGGTATGTTCTTATCATATGATTAAGATCACTCTCTTTTGACATAGAATGGATCAAATTTAAGTAACAATAATTTAAATAAAGTATGACATATATGAACTATTTGTAGAATTCTGGAGCATTTGTTTGAATAAAAATAGTGAGTGCAGAAATTGTCCCCTTAAAGCGTAGGGGTCGTCCCCTATGTACGCGCTAGAATCGAGTCCCAAGCGTGATTGGTACGACCTCATGAAACAAAATTACTTAATTTGGTTGTTCACTTTTAAATATTTTATACAAAAGAGTGTATTCCTGAAAAATGTATGACAATTACATTTTTTGGTTGTCCGATGCACAAAGATGAATGAGATTCACTACATCAAGGAGTATTGCCATCCCAAGTCTGTAGATTTTATCAGTATAACAATAATAACAATATTAATGTCCGCTACGACAATATTAGTGTAAGTTAATGTTAAAATAGCCTGTGTGAGTAAACTCTCTTCATCAATATACGCATGCAAATGAAATATGTGACCTATTTAATGAGGTCAGTTTGTATAGAAAGTAGCAATACCTTCACAGAGTGAAGAACGTCAAATGAACTAAAATGTGTGAGGTAAGCCAATGAGAAATGCACGCTGATGAAAATTAACAGTGGTGATATTAGATTACATACATATCAAATTTCAAGGCATTAAGATATATTTTTCAGTTTTTTATTTACGACTTCGTTGTTTGTTTTAGAAGCTACTTTAAGTGTCACGAGTCGATTACAGCCTACCCAGACGGCATCCACAGGTAAGTTGCTTAAAAAAAAATGAGTCCCTTATTACTGTATAAGCATTGGTTGGATATTTGATAAATCATTTATTATTTGTTTTTATGCAGATTCAAAAAAATAACAACTAGTAGTGGTTTCATTGGCAAAGATAATTCAGGTATTGCTGGAAGCAGTGGATCAGATATTTGAATCATTAAAATATACTACAGTAATGAGAATTTGTTAAAATGCATTACGTGATTGTTGTTTTATCTCTTCCCAAGGCACAACAGCAAAGATTATAATACCACTGATTATAGCTACTAATCTGATTGGCGGGTTTGTTGGTGTTAGGTACACCAGAAAAAAAACAAGAAGAAAAAAAAGAGGAAGTTGAAAAAAAGAAATCTAGTGTACCAAAATCTACCCCGGGAAATCGACGAAGATCGCCAAGAACTCAAATGGGAAAAAATAAGTTGTTGGCTAATAAACTTTATATCGCAGATTGTATATAGTTACGAGCACCAATCTTGTATTATTTGATTGCCTATAATTTTAGAAAAGCACTGATGAAATAAAACTACACAATTGACATCCATCGATTAAGTTTAATATAAATGTGTTTAATTTTTAATTTCTCAATGTAGATTATATTAGCATAACATTATAACAATTAAACACACCTCCTTAATATTAATTACCTGGTGCAAGTGACAACTTGTATAGAATAAAAACAAAATATTAATAAAAAAATAAATATTTGATCTAATTATGTGCTGCTTCTTCTTCCTTTTTCTTGTGGGAAGAGGACGTGTGTTTTCAGGGCTCCAGTAATTGTGCGTTTAACTGGTAATCTTTTCGCCAGTACTTTATATACTTAATCATCAATGTTTATGAATTCTTCCTGAGTGGTTTTGTGAACTTAAATATCCCGTTTGCTGTCACGGATCTCGATTGGGGCGGATTGCTGGGCTGGCTTGTTGTGCCATTCATTGCCACCCAATATGGCGGCGGAGAGGAATAAGAACTACCTCCAACTATCCATGAAGAACGCAGTAAAGATAGAAAATATTGATGGATTTGCTGTAGAAAATTATGTTGAAAAAATTGCGGATATGTACGGTGCTGAAAATATAATTGCTGTATCCAGAATGAACAGGTCTGTTGTTATGTTTTTAAAGTCGCAGGAGTTAGTAAACGAAGTATGTCTAACAGGTGTGATTGATGTAAACAATATATTTCTGCAACCTGAGCCAATGGTGAAACCAGCTACAAGAGTTATTTTGTAAATGTTCCACCCTTCATCTCGCATGCAATGATACAGGAGGAGCTTGTTAAATATGGGAGCGTACTTGAATCTTCATTTCGATTCATACCACTTGGCTTTAATAGATCTACCTTAGCACATGTTAAGTCATTTAGACGT